TGTAAAGGTATAAAGGAAAAAAAACTGTTTCTGTTACTGTGCTTGATGTGAGACGTGCCAGTCTCCTTGCACCGCTTTGAGATCTCAAATAAACTTTGTTTGCTTCTCCACCTGGTGTGTTTATTGGCGCGAAGCACGCCGGGCAATGAACCCCTGTTGCTTTGCCTCGGGCACCTCTGTGCCAGCAACAGGTTGAACAAACATCAGCCAGGTATGGTCTAGGTGTACTTGGCCCTGCCCCAGATGAGGGGGCTGGAATAAATGACCTCTAGAGGTCCCTGCAGCCCTATGTTTCTATGATTGCAGCCTAAAGGTTCAGGGCCCAGAAGGAAAATGAAAAGAGCCCAGCTTTTACTATTTACATGATTCAGGTGGGCCTCAGATGTGGGTTTGCAAGGCCTGTGGCTGGTAACGTGGAGGACAGGCTCCACTCTCTACCTCCAGGAACACAGCTGGGCCCAACAAGCAATGCCAGTAATTGCTCCCAGGGCGCTAGAGCCCAGGCCCAGGCCGGGACTCGCGTCCACAGCTGTAGCGCGGCCCCAGCCTGCGCAGAGGCGGCCCGCGGGTGCGTTTGCGGCAGCGCGTTCAGGGGGCAACTGCGAGGCCCAGGGACTGGGACGAGCCTACCGGGAGTCCAGCCCGAGCTCGTTCCGCTACAGGTAAAGGGCCAAATACGGGAACGAGACGCTGACACTCTCTTCTATCCCGCGCGCGCCAACAGGCTCCCAACGCCACGCCCCTTACGAGTGTGTCCGCGCGGCCCCGCCTCCCCCGCGCAGTGTGACGTAGAGGGGCCTGAGCAGGTAGCTACGTCCCGGCGGTCCCGCGGGCGCCGCGCCTGCGCAGTTACAAGCCCTGAGGCCGCGCGCACCGCTCCCTGTCTCGCGCTGCCGGGATGCCGAAGCTGAGCAAAGAGGCCAAGCAGCGGCTGCAGCAGCTCTTCCAGGGCAGCCAGTTCGCGATCCGCTGGGGCTTCATCCCCGTCGTGCTCTATCTAGGTCAGTGCCCGGCCAGGGGAGCGGAGCCGCGCTGTCCCCGCTCGGGGAGCCTGCCTGGTCACGAGGCCCGCTTGGCCGCGTGGGGCCCGGGGAGGGAACACTGCCCCCCCCCCCCAGCTGGCGCGCGGGGGGAGGGAACACTGCCCCCCCCCCCCAGCTGGCGCGCGGGCTGGAGCACGCGGGGGATCCCCTCACCGGTCGGGGGGGGGCAGCGGGAGATTCCGGGTCACGCGGGAGATTCCGGGTCACGCGGGGGCCAGTCCCGCACCCGCAGCGGTTGTTGCCGATTGGGCGGAGGGGCTGGCGCGTTCGGGCCGGGGGCCTCGCCTGACTCCTCCCTTCTAGCGGCCGCTGGAAAAGGGGGCTCTTGAGCGCGCGGCGCCTTGTTTAGCCTTTAGCCGGCTGGGGCAGAACCGCCGCTTCCACCGGCCGCTGGGCGAGAGGGACAGGCCAGGCCTCGCCGCTCCAGAACCGCCCCTTCCCAGGGCTGTTGCCGGGGAGACAACGCCCAGACCCGCCCCTTCCGGTGGCCGCTGGGGAGGGAGACAAGGCCCCGTGTGCTCCAGAACTGCCTCGTCCCATAGTTGCAGGCAATAGGGTGGAGTTTGACACTTAAGTGATCTGACTTCACCTAGACCTGTGCTCGGTTCCTTTAGGCCAGTGGCTCTCAGCCTTTCCAGACTACTGTACCTGATTTGTCTTGCGTCCCCCCCAAGTTTCACCTCACTTAAAAACCTGCTTGCTTACAAAACCAGACATGAAAATACAGTTGTCACATCACACAATGACTGAAAAATTGCTTGTTTTCTCATTTTGTCTGTATAAAATTTTAATTTATACAGACTTTGCAAGTGCTTTGTATGTAGCCTGTTGTAAAACTAGGCAAATATCTAGATGAGTTGATGATCCTCTGGACGACTTCTGCGTACCCCCAGGGATACGTGTATCCCTGGTTCAGAGCCACTGCTCTAGGCCATGGCTGTGTTGGGGAGGGGAGTGTAATTTTTATACATGTTAAGTTTTAGTTAGTAAAGACAAGGCCTTAGGTTCTGGGTGCCAGCTACAGGCTTAATCCTGGTCTACTCTTCGAAATTAGATCGACCTAGCTATGTCACTCTTGGCTTTGAAAAATATTGCATCCTGTGCGATGTAGTTAGGCCAGTGGTTCTCAAATTTTTGTACTGGTGACCCCTTTCACATAGCAAGCCTCTGAGTGCAACCCCCCCCCTATAAATTAAAACCACTTTTTGATATATTTAACACCGTTATAAATGCTGGAGGCAAAGCACAGTTTGGGGTGGAGGCTGACTGCTTGCGACACCCCCCCCCCCCATGTAATAACCTCGTGACTCCCTGAGGGGTCCCAACCCCCAGTTTGAGACTCCCTGAGTTAGGCCAACCTAACCCTCACTGTAGATGTAGCTAGGTTGATTGAAGGATTATTCTGTCAACCTAGCTGCCACCTCTGGACGCAGTAGATCTATGGTGATGGAAAAAACCCTTCTGTGAACATATGAAGTGTCTATACTATAGTGACATGGGTGCAGTGTCATAGCTGTGTTGCTGTCATGTAGACATGGCCATAGAGAAAAGATGCCCAGTGCAAGAACTTTGTTTGCATAGCACCAAAGTATGCTGGTCAAACTTTAAAAACAAATGATGCAAAGTCTCTGCCCTAAGGAGCTTAGCCTTAGAAAAAAAGAGTTTGTGTTGTTGTGATTGAAATGCAGCATGAAAGTCTGATTAAAAGGCCTTTGTTTTCCAATTAATAAATAACTGGAAAAATTAGGTCGTCTGTGTCCCCTATGTACTCTTTAACAATTGCATATGAGCGACGAGCACGGGCGAGCGATTTCACCAGGACATTGCAACAATGGAGAAACGCTATCGGGGCAAATGGAGCCCATCAATGCTTGCAGACTATTGCTGGACAGTGA